GTAGGAGCTGAGAGTACAGAGATCTGTCTCATGACCTCAAGAACCCCACAGATTAGGGGAAGAATTGAATATCTGTATGAATAACTCTAGATGGACTTCTTATTCTGGTTGTGGGAATAACCAAAGGGGAGCACAGGGAAAGGCAGACTTACTGCCACCTCTGGCCCTCTTGGGTGAGGCTAGCCAGGCTCGACTGAGTTCTCAGGGACTCAGGAGAGAGGACAGACGGGCAAGAGAGCTGCTATTGGTCGAATGCTCATTATGGATGTCCTGGGAGTCATGTGAACTCCTGTACTTACACTCACTGCCCTTCCTTCACAACTCTGTGAGGTGGGTACTGGCATGATGCCCCCGTTGCAGATGAACACCTGGGGGGTTGAAGAGGTTGAATGAATTGCCTCAGGCAACCCAGGAGATAAGAGGTGAGCCAGAGGTGACAGGTATTGCTCTCCCGCTGCCCTAACCACCTCCCATACTGTGATTTTTCCTTTCCCTGTCCTGAAAGGGTCAGGTTAAGTCTGTCTGTGACAAAGAGTAAAGGGAAAGGCATTTTTGATTAACAATATTTATGGGAAGATGCCACTTTTGTATATTTCTCTGTGCAAGAAATGCCATTTGGAAAGCAGTGTGCATGTCAGTAATTTTCTTTCTGAGAAAAAGCCTATAGAGTCTGGTGAGGGGAGGGTTTGCAGCTGGCAGGAGCTTTGGCATATGTTGTAACTAAAAAGAGAGGGAATGTGTTGGTGGGACAGGCTACCGGAGAGCCGTCTCGGTGTGCTGCGGTCCTAGTAAGTGTTTTAATTGGGTAGGGTTTTTGGAGGACTATTTTGACATCTGCTCGTGTCTTTGCTGATTTTTCTTCACAGAGTAGGAAACACAAGCTGTGGATAAAATGACTTTAAAATAATTGGACGCAAAGCTATCTTTTTCAAAGTCGAATTTGAGAGGGACACTTTTTAAGAAGTGAAAAGTAAATTCCACTTCTAGGAATCCACCCTAAAGCACAAGGCTTTGTGCCTACAGATTTCAGGACAGTATTACCTATGATCATGTCTTAACAACTGGATATAGTAACCAACAAAAGGGACTCGGATGGATTTGTTTCCATGGAGTGAAACATTTTGTAACAATTAATAATCTTTACAAAGGTTTTAATGAAGTGGAACATTGCTTATATAGTAATAAAGGAGAGAATCAGAAAGAAACATTAAAATTGTTTCAACAGTGTTTTTTGAAAGTAGGGTTTGCAGCAGAGGAATGTGAAAGGAAGCACAGAATGTTATCTCCAAATGGAGGGATCAGGATAACCATAATTTTCTTTGAACTTTTGTGTCTTTCTCCTTTTTTATAGCAGGCATATGTAATTTTTATGATAGGAAAGGCGAGAGGAAGCAGGTCCTGAGCGTTAGTATAACTGCATGCCCTGTCCAGGTGCTTGCTCTGAAGTCTGAGCCTTGGTTTGGGGCATCTTTAGAAAGACAGGCTTTCAAGTCAGACTGGTTCCAAAGTCAGCTCTGCCGCTCACTGGCTATGAGACTTGGGCAGTTGATTTGACCTCTGTGCGCCCCGTTTCCTTCTCGCGACCATGGAGATGATGGTATCTCCCTCATAGCATGGACAGGATTAAATGACCTGGCACCCAGTAAGGGTCCGACTTCCTTCTCCACCACACCTCCCTCTCCCACCGCCAGTTTGAGGTGTTTTGCCTTTTTCATTCCCATTTCCATGAGCCTTTCACGGAGAAGGTGCCGTCCGGCGAGCTGGCCCTCGAGTCTTTCCTTGGGAACACTGAGCTCGGGCAGGTCCTTGAGTCCACGCCAGCAGCCGCTCTGGAGGAGCCCTGCCGCGGCGAGGGCAGCATTCTCCTCGGAGAGGACACTGTGCCGCCCCAGCTCCTGCTGGAGCCTGGCGCTTGGGCATTTTGGTTACTAAGGGGACCCTGGCCTGTTCAGTCAGAAAAAAGGACCAGGTTTTTTCCTCTTCTTCAGCCTGAAGCCATTGTTGAAAAAGTAAACACTCCACATAGCTTAACCGGCAAGTCCTCCAGTCAGGAGTAGGAAGCTATCGAAAGCCTGTTCCAGCCCAGTGAGGAGAGTCCACAGGGCCGCTGTGTGCTGCCAGGCCCCACTGGAGCACAGAGACAGTGCCAGTCTGGTGGGCACCAGCCCCGCCTCAGCCCCTGCGCCTCTCCCGGGGCGGCCCTGCCCCTTGTCTGCCCTTGTCGTCCGAGCTCTTTGGAAGGTCACAAGAGGAAAAATATATATCCTCCCCCCCCCCCCATGTACAGGGTGTCTGTAGATTCTGTTACATTTTGAAAATGAAATGTAATAAACACTGGTTTTGCAATTAAAGTGTGTGTGCATCTTGGGGGCATATGTATGTATATATGATTCTGGGTGCGGCAGCCTCGGCTCACTGTCGAAGCCTCCTCAGCGGAGCTGTGGCTCAGCCCCTTATGGACCCTTGTTTCTGGTGCTGACGTCTTTGAAGTGAGAGCCCCGCAATTACTAAGAAGGGGCCAAAGGACTTTGCCCTAAGGCCGTTGCCTCTACAGCTCTCAGACTAGTTGGGGCTGATGTATGTATTATACAAGTAATAATAATAGCTACTGTTTAGAAGTCCTACTGTGTGCCCAACAGCACCGGGGGAAATGAGGTGAGGAGGTGGTCACAGTTATCCTCTCAGTTTTACAGAGGGGGGAGCCACTTCACCTCTCTGAGCCTCAGTCTCTCACTCTGGAGTGGGAGTGGCGGCCCCTCACCTGCAGCCACATTGCTGAAGTGAAAGGACCCCTGTGGAAGTGCTGCGTGAGCCCTGGAGTGCGCATGAGTGAGAAAGGGGGTCGTTGAGGCTGTTTCCGTAACTTCCCGCTGGCACACTGCTGGGTGTGGATGGCGAGGGAGGCAGCGAAGGAGCCCTGGGCAGTTCATCAGGAGGCTCAGTGTTCTCATCTGTAAAGTGGGGACTGTGCTGAGTGAAAACTGGTGATGTGCTGTTATCAATGCTGTTTGCTCATAGTGTTCACCCTGTAAGTGAGCCAGTCAGTTAACATGAGTGATGGGGTCCGTAGGGAGAAAAAACTTCTAAGTCGGCAATCTTGTCCCTCCTCTGTGGGTCTCAGCCCAGAGTAAGCACTTAGTAAAGTTTATGAATTGCTTGGTAGGTTTGTGGCCTAGGCCCCCATGGCCTGGAAGAGTCCAGAAGGTTGAGGCTCCTGGTTTCATTAATGAAAGGGTTCCAGGATTCTGCCCTCTGGGAGTGTTATTTCAACCCCAGGAAGCTTCTGACCAGCATGGCTCCACCCTCCTGCTGGGAGGAATCTGGAAATGTTTACTTAGGTGCCAGGTTCTGTCCTAGAGGCTGGGGTTTGAGACAACAAACGTAGACCAATGTTAATTAGCACTTAGCAAATAATTTTGTCAGGTGCTAGTTATTATGCGGTGGGGAGCCAAACAGGTGAACCCCTGAAGGAGCCCACACCCCAGCAGGCACAGGGGTACTGGGGCTCACTGGCAGGGCCTGTGCAGAGCTCAGTCTCACAGAGGGTGTCTGAGGAGGGAGGAGGCTGATGGCGCTGTGGGGGCAGCCGGTGCTGTTACCTCTGCCCCTCACCTCACCTGTCTGCACCGCATTTCCCTCCTGTTCCATACAGGAGGATAATAACATGCACGCGGCAGTGTTTGAGAATTAAATGAGGTAAGGTAAGAGAAGCCTAAGAAAAGCACGTTGCAGTTGCTGTGCATCTCCAGGGCATTGGCTGACTTGGGCTTACGCCGCCATCGGGATGTCCAGCTCCATCGCCAGCCAACCCAGTGCTCTCACCAGCACTTCCTACTGATGTCACTCGGCAGACACGCGGGTTGGCAGACTGCAGCCCCAGCTTGGCTGGCCAGGCATCCTTGGGCAATGTACTGTTACATAGTCACGTGTAGTAGCTCAGAGTATGGCCAATAATGAAATTGGTTCCTTACATATAGAAGACCATATGCCCCATTTTATGCCTTTACCCTGTCATAAATGCTCTTTTATAGCCAAAAGTATCCCTGTTTAGACAACAAATTATAGGGTCTTTCTATTTAACCAGGGCAAAATGAAATCGTTTTGAATTCTAAACTCTAAAGAAGTGAGTTCAGATGTAAGAGAGTGAGAGGATTGGATGAGATTGGGAGTGGTGAGCAGGCAGCAGAAACACAGAGATGGATTTTAGCAGTGGGTAAACAGTGATTAAAAATAGAAAACTGAGGCTACTCACTATCTAGTACTTCAACAGACTATCTAGTTGCTTCCAGATGGGGGCTCTTCTTTCCCCATATTGAACCTTCATTCCTTCCTCCCCTCACCAAACATGAACACCTAGTAGACGTGCGTCTCCCTTTCCCTGTACCAGTAGAATCATGGCCTGTGGCCTGTGAGTCATGACTCACTAGCTAGATTTCTATGGAAAACGGAACCAAACAGAAAGTGTGACCTTTCTACTTACTGTTTAAGGGAAATGTTAACACGGTGACACTAGGCCATACACCATACTCCATACCCAAGAATGGCAGGGGCCAAAAGAGAGATGGGCAGGTGACTAGTCTCTGTAAATGAGAAGGGTTGGCTTGACTGCGGGTGTCACAAGAGCATATCTGTCCATCAGAGTACCCGGGGCCAGAGCTTTGGATCTCAGACTCCGTTGTAAAAGATGTAAGATACAGGGAAAAGATAACATTGGGGTATAAAGATCTCTCTTCCTAGCTCTGTGACCTGGGACATGTTAATTTAGTCTTTGTGAAACCCTATTCTTTCCTGGGACTTCGGGGTGACCATACAAGCTCACAGAGTTTTTGGGACAGTTAAGTGTCCTCATAAATGTGATCACCTAGCAGGGGCCTGCCCCAGAGCAAGCCTTTGTCAGATGTCACTTTGCTTCCTATTCCTCGTCCCCAGAGAAGGCCTGGGGAAGATACGTGTCATCATGGTGCCTCAGCGATTTTTTGTTTGGTATTTTTTATTTGCAGAAAGTCCGAAACATGGCCCTGGATGATGTCGTGATCCTTAACGTGGACACCAACACCCTGGAAACCCCCTTTGACGACCTCCAGAGCCTCCCGAATGACGTGGTGGGTAATGAGCCCTTGGGGTTCTGACTCCTGTGAGTGGCGGTGAATGTGGCATAACCCTGGGGACGGGGAAGCAGGGGACAGCTGTGGCTTTCCCGCGGCCTAAGGATTGTACTTCGTTTCTCTGTTCCCTCTGGCACCTTTGTCTCGGTGAAGGAAGTTGGAGGTGGTTCATTTTTGTAGTCTTGTTTTGTTCTCATTGGCTTCATCTGAAAGGCCATGAAGCGATCCCTGGGCCTCGACAGCTCCCCAGATGGTGAGTGCCTGGGGGTCTCTCCATCCCTCTCCAGCTCAGTGCCATATCCCCTGAGGTGGCGGGAGGGCTTTCAGTGTGAGCAATTTGGGCCTCTTCAGTCCTCCATCTTTTCCCTGGGACATCATCAAACAGACTGTTTCCCATGTAGCAGGGACCTGTAGACAGTGCTCTGCATGTGGTTCCGTGTCCCCTAAGTCTTTCTTCACACCTCAGGTCTAGACAGATTGTGGGCTCTACTGGCTGCCGCCTTTGCCGGCGAACGTCTGACCTCACACCTGTTGCACCTTGCTGCTCAGAGCTGCCTTGTGGGCAGCTATTCGAAGGAGACCCAGTGTCCCCCTTGTCCTTACAAATGAGGAGGGCCGGGGTTCACTGCGAAGCACAGTTTGGATGTTTCTGATCTGGCCTCCCTGACTCTGCCTTCCAGACTGGGAGGTGGGTGGTGCTGAGATGGGGCTGGGTATGTGTCACTGGGTTGGTGTTGCGGCAGTGGGCGCTGCCGCTCCATTCCTGCCAGGAGTCCCGGTGGCATCGTGGGGTTAACTGTCCTGAAGAGATGAGTGTTTGCTGGTGAACGGCTTGCAAACAGGTTTCACATGCCTGCTCTTAACTCACTGTGAGGTTTCGAGGGTCATTTGTACTCCGTAAAGATGTTCCGTTTGTAGGATAATTAAAAAGCGCTACCATTCACTGACTTCCTACTACTCTCAGGAAATATTTCTCTTATTCCCACTACCACAGAGCTAGGAAGGGGGGAGCCAGGCAGCGAGCCCAGCTCTGTCACTCCACAGAGGCACTGCCCCCTGCCTCTCTGGGTGCCTTCTGCATTCAGGACCACGTTCAGCTAGCATCGTAGCCCCGCGGAATAGGCGTTCTCTCCTTTCACAGGAAGTATGTGCCTAGACACAGACCCAGGCTCACCAGGGCAGAGCTGAGGTTGGAACCTCGGGACCCCGGTCTGGACAACACGAAAGCCTGTGCTGCCTCCGTCAGAAGTAGAAAAAATGAAAGTACCAGACACTGTGAGGTTCATTTATCATGTCAGAACAGGGTCGTGGTTGGTATCTTAGGACCTCCTGACCATAATTTGAATTCTTTGGGTTCGGTGGAAAGGCTCTCCCATAAAGCCATAGGTGTCTTAGGTATGGACCTTGCAACTGCTGAGTGAATGTGGTAAGTGCACCTGAGGTCTGTCAAGGGCAGTGATGGCCAGGGGCCTGGGGCAGCCCCAATGAGTGTGATGGCCCAGAAACTATAGAACAGACTGACTGGTCCCCCCTGCAGTGCTCTGCCCTGAGCGGGGCTTTGAGCAGCAAATATGAAGCAGACCTAATGCTCTCCCTCAAGGAGCATATTCCAGTGGAGGAAACAGACATGTAACTGACATACATATCACAGTATGCAGAAATAGGAGCCATGAAGGGTATTGGAATCAGGCACAGAAGAGCCCAGGGGTGACAAAGATTTGAGGGGGGCGAATGGAGACTTCCTGAAGATGGTACATTCCCAGATGCCTTTTAAATGATCAGGGAAGTGGCCTCAAAGAACCGAGGAAACCTGGGCATGGTATTGTCCCTATCTGAGCCTCACCTCCCCCCTTGAAAAGAGGAGTGCCAGGCCTGTCATTAGGATTGCCGTGGCAAGTAGATGGGCAGTAGTGTTCATCAGGTGCTTGGCACGGTGTGCACATGTTCTCAGTGCTTAATAAGTGGAACCTGCAATTATTTTTAATAAAATTGTCACTAATAATTGCAGCCAGGGTGAGAGGACAGTTAGTTCCCTGTAACCAAAGGATCTCCTCATTTGCAAGCCGATTTGTGGTAAGGCTGAGAGTGTTCTACAGCAGTGGTTTCCAGCATGAGGCTCTAGACTCATGGAAGACTCCAAGGATAGTACTGGGGAGGGAATGGGGTCCATGGGTACTTGCTGTGCTTCAGTGGAATTCACAGGCTTTATGCTCGAAGGCTGTGTGAGCTTTCGAGTCCTTGAGAGGAGAAATTGTACCTGCCATCTTTGTGTCCCCTGCATTTAGCACAGGGCCAGGTGCTTTTAGTGTATCAGCATATCCACAGTTGACCTCACAGTCTTTTCTTTTGCCAAAGCTACTTACTGACTGCATCTGACAGACTCTGCTTCTTAGACATTTCTCAAAGCTTCTCCGTCCCTCCTAAATGCTGCCTGATCCAGCCTCTTCCTTCTCTCCTGCAGTCTCTGCTGGCTCTTGGAACCCCAGCCTCCTTCCTCATGTACCAGTTACCTATTTAAAACAGAAACTTAACTACATTTCCCTAATTTAGTTATATTTATTTATAGTTTTATTTAACTCAATTTAACTGTACTTAAAACCATTTTGTCAATGAACATATATATTTTTTTAATTTCTAAAGACAGAAATCCTTCCATAACTTTTAGTACCTGTAGATTAGAGGCAGGTCCCTTTTGTTGGCTTTGGAATGAGAGATCTGTATTTAGATGCTGGCTTCACTTACGAAGGCACGTGGTCTCGGGCAAAATTGCTTAAGCTCTCTGAGTCTCAGTTTCCTTAATACGATTGTTGTGAGAAGTAAATGTAATGTGTATAATATATGTAAAATGTGTTCTGTGAGCTCTATAGACTGCAGTTAATATTAGTGGATTATGGATGCACCTGGTGACTAGCATGGCATTCCAGGCCCTCCTTCATGATATGACCCACCTGTTTTTCCCATCGCTTTAGCTCGTTCTCCTCACTGCTTCAAACCCTGTATTATAGCTGCTTGGCACTGTCAGTATTTCTCCCAAGCATACCTGTTGTTTCATAACTTTGTATGCAGAGTTTCTGTTGTCCCAAATGTCCCGCCTCATCTGCCAATCTTACTTGTTCTTCAACACTTTATGCTAAATGTTCAGCTGTAAAAACCTTCCCTGACCTCTCCAAGTACATTTGACCACATCTTTCTCTATGTCTCCACAGCTCCTTATTCTGCTTGTATAATTACACTTATCTTCCTGCAGGATAATTTGTCACACATTCTGGCTTTCCCTTTTAATTGTGAGTTCTTTGAGGGCAGGAATCAAGTTTTATCCATCTTTGTTTCCCAGGATCTAGCAGCCACTGAATAGATAGATGGAAGGATGGAGGGGACATATGGATTGGGTTATTTTGGTAGATGAAATCTTGCAAAACATGGCATTCGTGCTGGAAATTTTATTAAAAGAGGCCTTTGTTCTGCTTCTAGCCATGATGGAGTAATTGGAACTAGATTTCTGCCCCTGCCATTAACAACTAAAACTCAGGACAAATATGAAAACAACTGTTTTCACATACTGGACAAGTAGTACAGGAGTATAATCCCTGAGAGAAAGTAACTTGAGGCCTGTGATCCCCCTGGTTTTTCTGCCTAGAGGCACTTTCTGGCCCCTAGGCCAAGAGGGGGTCCCCAGCCAAGCACAACAGCCTCGCTGAGTTGAGGAGTTGTGGATCTGAGTATGGGGAAGAGGTAGTTCCAATTTGTGGGTCAGATTATCTGACAGGAGAGAGCTGCTCAGCAAAAGAGCTCCAGAAATCTGAATTGAGTCCTCTTGACTAACCTGCTGAAGCCTGGTCTGCCCACCCATAGGGGGAGCTCACACAGGCTAGGACTCATTCAGGCTCTGACCAGCCAGAAGAGGAAGATCTTGGTGATCACTCAGGACAGTCATCAGAGACCCCAGGAGGCCAAGCCTGTGGTAGTCTAAATTAGCTCTAGAGCAAAGATAGTTTTAGCCCTGCCCTAACAAAGCTTAAAATCAAGCCCTGGCTGGTGTGGCTCAGTCGTTAGAGCACCAGCCCACAGCAAACCAAAAGGTAGCGGTTCGATTCCCAGTCAAGGGCACATACCTGGGTTGCAGGTTTGATCCCCAATCTGTGCCCTGGTTGGGGTACATGCAGGAGGCAACCAATTGATATGTCTCTCTCTTTCTCTCTCTCCTTCCACTCTCTCTAAAAATCAACAGAAAAAGTATCTACAGGTGAGGATTTAAAAAAAAAAAAAAAAAGGTTAAAATCCAGCCCTGAGGAGCATAAGAGAGGGCCTCAGGGCTGGTGCTGGTAATGTGCTGATTTTTTCTCTCAGTGCCAGTTATGTCGGCAAGAATTCCTCGATCTGAACACCAGCGATATTTGTACTCCTGTGTATGTATGTTAAACTTAAAAAGTTTTAAACAAAACTATTTCTTTAAAAAAAAAAAAAAAAAAAGCCTTAAAAGGATCAATCTGATATGCAAGATATTCAACCTCCTGTCAAAATAAACTTCAACCCTCTTTAAAAGAAGACAACAAAATCTAACACTCAACAACATAACATTCACAGTAACTAGCATCCTGTCAAAAAAGTACTAGACATTGAGAATCAGGGAAATATAACCCATAACCAAGACGAAAATTTGTCAATGGAAACTAACTCTGAAATGACAAACATGATAGAATTAGCAGACAAGGACCTTAAGATGGATATTATAAAGATTATAAATGTACTCTTGAATTTAAGGAAGACCTGAACTTAATGAGGAGAGAAACAGAAGATATAAAAAGAATGAGAGGGAACATCTTGAGGTGAAAAATAGAATACCTGGATTGAAAATTTCACCGATAGGGTTAAAAGGATGTTAGGCACCACATCTTAAAAGATCAATGAACTTGAAGACATACCATTAAAAACTGTATCCACTATGAAGCAGAGAAAGGAAAGACTGGAAAAGGTCAACAGACCCTTCGGGACCCATG